CATATGGGATCTCTGCATGTGCAAAGTGAGGACCTTAGCCAGTAGCCTACATTCTGGGCCCCTGTACGAGTTTTAGCAGATAGCACTTTTAAGGAATGGATTCAGTTCATGTAAGTATAAAATTTGGGACATAGATACTTTTTATTACACTTTGACTGCCTACCTATCAGCAGCAATGATTCCTCTTTCATTCTGATGTTAGTAAAATATGTCTTCTTTCTTTTTTTTCTCAGTGAGTCTGGTTGACTGTGTATTAATTTTATTTTACAGTCATTTCTGTGCCCAACACAACAACCTGATGGCTAAATCCTCACCTTGCATCTGCCAGAATCCCATAGGGGTGCTGGTTCATATCCCCAGCTGTTCTACTTCTCATCCAGATCCCTGCTTGTGGCCTGGGAAAGCAGCAGAATACAACCCAAATCCTTGGGACCCAGAACCCATGTATGAGACCTGGAAAAGGCTCCTGGGTTCGAATCAGTTCAGCTCTGGCTTTGATACCTTTGCAGCCATTTGGGCTAAGAACTAGTGCATGGAGGACGTTTCTTTCTCCTCCTCCTCTCTGTAAATCTGCCTTTCCAAAAAAAAAAAATCCTTAAAAAAATAGTTCATATTTTCATGAGTCTCTCTAATGATTTCCTGCTTTCAAATATATTAACTTTTGTCCTGGTTTTAATTGGTTCAATTGGTTATTTATTATTTATTTTCTTTTTTTTTTTTACAATGTAATTTGTTCTTTTTTTTCCAATTTCCTAAGATGAATATAAATCACTGCCTTCATTCCTCTCTTTTATAACATATGCATTTAATGCTATAAATTCTAAGAATTGCTTTTATTGCATCTCACAAATTCTGAAAAGCTTTAACTTTAATTTATTTAAAATTTTAAATTTCTTAACATTTCTTCTTTGATTCTTGTGTTATATAAAAGCATGCTGTGTCGTCTCATCCCCAGGTTTTAGGAATATTCCAACTATCCTTTCTCTACTCATTAAAGTTATCTCCAGGATGTACTCCGGGTAAGTCTTGGCATAGACACAGGTATCTAAATCTCCTAGTCACATGGTTGTAGCTGGGGGAATTTGTGCTTGGCCAGGCTTCCTGCTGGGGATCCTAGCTTTTGTCCACTGCTGCCAGGTAGTGTGCAAATCCTGAGCTTGTCCTGGCCCAGAGATCATGCTGTGGGCGGATCTTGGCAGCTCTGAGCATGCTCAGGAGCTCCACCCTCCACTGCCATGTTGGTGGGTGGAGTCCAGGTAAGTCTGCTCAGAGGCATGGGAGTCTGAATCTCCCAGGCGTGTGGCTGTGGTGGCTGAAGGAATCCACACAGGCTGCCCGGATGCCAGTGGTGCCAGGCCAAGCCCACAGGCTGCCTGGAGATGCACTCTTGGAATTTGTGGGTGAGGGCTTACATAAGCAAAGGTAGAGATGAACAGAGACCCTAGGATTCATGTCCAGATGGGGAATGACTTCTAGGAAACTTCCATGGACAAGGCTACTCTACTTGAAGGACTGCAACATGGAACCAACCAGAGAAGTTCAAACAAGGGAGCAGGTACTATGAGGCTTGGCCATACAGCCAACAAACATGTGAGTGAATCAGGTCTTGGGGTAAAATCTGCAGGGCAATATGTGGGCTCACCCATGTGGAACAGCAATCTCCATTGGCATGCCTAAGAGTTGTGGCTTGGAATAGGTCTGGTTGGGGAGCTAAGGAGACGCCCTAGCTGAACTGGAATTCCCACTGGTGAATGTGAGAGCCAAAATCTGTCCATTGTCCCATGTTGAACATGGCTACAACATCCCTTGGCACGGATGTGACCTGGGTCTGGGAGAGCCAGGATGGGCTAGACTTCAGTGCTCGCTACTCGTAAAAGTTAAAATAGGGTATAGAATGGACTGGGCTAGGTCTCAGCTCCTGTTGAACCATGTGAGAGCTGTCTGGGCACAGACTAGGTGTGGATTGGCTGTAATGCTCAACAGTAAGAACCAGAAAGGGTATGGGCTGATTGGGCAAGGACGCTGTTTCTGCCAGGACAACAGGTCAATAAAGTCAACCTGGGCCAGGGACCCACTGATCTATGCAAAATCTGCTGCTGGGAGGAGACCAGATAAAGGAGCTTGGTGAACTCCTTTGTCAGGTAAGCACAAGAACCAAGGCAAGGAACAACCCAAACCAGACCAGGTTACAGTACCCACTGGCATGTGGATCAGGTCAGGGGGTGAGCCAGGCAGGGTCAGTTCTTAACATCCACTGACAGATCCAAGAACCAGGCAGGGGTCCAGGAGAGGCTGAGTTGAGCCCATCATCAGCCAGTTCACACTTGAGCCAAGATTGAGGACTGCTGAAGCATCCACCAGTGGATGCCAAGGGAAGATGAGCCATGTCAGTCTGGGGGAGATTGTGTCAGGTCCATGAGCCCCAGGAACAGATGAGCCCTCAGACTTGCCAGGGAGATGGGTACCAGATCCATGAAACCCTGGTTTGGGTGGCCTCTGGGTCTCCTGGTCCAGGTCACCGAGCCCACCTGCAAGGTTGGGGCCAGGTATGTGAACCCCAGGGATGGGGGTCTGGTGGGTCCTGATTCGTATGTCATCATGGGTCTGTCTGTGCAAGAAGTGCCCTTGAGCCTCAGGGGTGGGGAGTCCATCTTGGCACTGGGTCTCCTGAAAAAATATTGAAAAGAGCCATTTCCTCTTCTCAGAGGCAGATTCTGCCCTGGATCTGAAGACTCAAGAATATTAGCCAAGAGCATAGGGGTTGAATAAAGCTTCATCATGTGCAAAGAAGGGTTAAAGAATGTTCCCAGTTGATTCAACTCCAGCTTCCAGATACAAATGGCAGCTGATGATCTCATCCCATTCAGTGGGGAGCAGCTGTTCCTGCTCTCTGTACACAGGAAGCTATTTCTCCTGGGACAGGAGAGAGCCTCACCCCATGTGTCAGACTCTACCCTTGTCTGCCAGAATATCCTCCAACTTCAACAAACCTTGTGTCCAAGGTCCATTACAGCTTATCTGAAAAATGAAAAAAGAGGTCCCTCAACTCCCCTCCCCCATTTGATTCTGAGTTCCTACACCTCTTGGTACCAGTCTGGGAGGCACAATGTCCCAGGGACAGGCCTTGAAGATAAAAGATCTTTGTGAGTGTCCTCATGTCCAGCTGTGGTCCCACTGATCTCCTCATGGTTTACTGTCTGAAGGATCTACAGACACACTGAAGGCAGGAGACTGACAGCAGGATAAGGCATCTGCCATAAGCTGTTCTCCAAAACTCATTCGGAGATAGGAAACGTGGGGCTGAAGAGCTATGCATCCCTTTCAGGGATGATCAGTGGTACATGGAGGAAGCCAATCTTCTTAGCATTTTTCACAACTAACACAGCTTCAACCTGGAAAAGCTGCTTCTAAATGTGCAATTCACAGGGATCACTGGATAGACAATCAGGAAAATACCTGTGAAAAGGAACTATAAAGAGTGATGCAACTGGCTGCACAGCTTTCAAGCTAATGCAAATCTTAAGATACCGTTCACTTTTAATTTTATTTTTTGGTATCTTGATTGAATTATACATTCGTGGTAACTGTGTTAAGGGTACATCATTTAAGTTATTCCATTGTACTGTCTAGTTAACACAATTTTTGGAACAAACGCAAATAGCACTTTAATTGTGGCAAGACGGATGCAACATGAAATTTACCATAATCAATTCAGTGCCATTTATTGACATTAAGCATACTTACATTATTATTATGCAATCACCACTATCATTTTTAAGAACACCTTTTCACCTTGAAAATATAACTTTGCACATTAAACAGTAATTTTCTAATTAATCTCATGCACATAGTAATCAGGGATACCTTTCTTTGTGAATTTCTTTATTCTTGGTATGTCATTTATGTGGAACCATAGTATTTGTCTTTTGTTATTTGACATTTTTCATTTGTCAGTGTCCTAGTTATCAATATTGTATCATATGACAGAATTTTCTTCTTGGAGCTTCATAAGATTCTATTGTTCATATACATCACGTATTGTTATTGCGTTCCTTCCTCAATGGATATTTGAGGTGCTTCCACGTTGGCTATTGTGAACAATACTGTTATAAACATGAGTACAGAAATATCTCTTAGGTATCCTACTCTCATTCCTTTTGAAATGTTTAGCAAATGAAATGCTTCATTCATAACATAAACAAACTTTTAAAACCTTTCATTTTATACTTGACTAATAATTATACATATTTTTGGTCCCTGTCTAGACTTACCATTATGAGGACCAGTCTTTTTCATAAAAAAAAATTTTTATCTTTATTGGGAAGACAGATTTACAAAGATGTTCTGTCCACTGCTACATTCTCCATGAGGCCACAATGGCCAGAGCTGAGCTGCTCCAAAGCCAGGAACCAAGAACTTCTTCTGGGTCTCCCACAAAGATGGAGGATCCCAAGGCCTTGGGTCATCCTCTATTGCTTTTCCAGGCTACAAGCAGTGAACTGGATGGGAAGTGGAGCAGCCGGGGCATGAACCAGTGCCCATGTGGGATCTCAGTGCATTCAAGGCGAGGATTTAGCCACCAGGCTACCACGCAAGTCCTAGCCTGGATTCTTTAGACATTTTCCTTCTCTCCCTAATCATATGATCACACAACAAGAAAAAAATCTAAGAACTGACCTAATAAGGGGAAATGGCTGCAGAGGCTAAATGTCTCTGAATTATCAAATGCAAAAATTTTGCTCGCTGTTACAGTGACAACACATTGATAACAGCACTCGATGATGCTACAAAGTGGTCAATTTAAAAGGTGTAAACTATAGGGAATAATGGGTGTCTGTGAAGAGACCCTAAAAACTCTCTAGTAAAGTTGATCTTTGAGAAACGAGGAAATGTCAGAGAACAGATCAGAGAAAGCACTCATAAAAAGGAAAAGTTGAGTGGTTCCAGGAAGGGGGGAGGCGGGATGACAGTGCAGCAGCAGCCAGATGACCTGCCCTCCTTCAGACAGGAATGAAGCTGAGCTGGTAAAAGGGGGGCACACGGCCAAATCCTTCGAAAACTGGGGTGACGTCAATGTCCTTTGGGTCGACCAGAGGTTTCAGGGTAAAGTTCTGTAAGATGGTGGTCAGGAACAGAAACAGCTCCATGCGGGCCAGGCCCTCTCCCACACACGCTCGCTTTCCTGAAAATGACAAGCATGGAAGGTTTGTTGTCTAAGCATGAAATTACAAAGGTTATAAAGCTAACACAAAAATCATGTAGGATATATTTGAATGACTGAAAATGATAGGTAGAAGACAGGATGACTGGGAGGATGGCTGGATATTCAACAGACAAGGGATAAACACTTGCTAGCATTTTTTTTTCTTAGTCAACAAATGTGTATTGAATATCAACTTCCTAGTACACATTCATTAACTATTATAGCATTAGAATTATTCTTTTGACATTTCAAATTTCCATTCATCTTCTTCTAGAAACACATATTTATTATGAAAGGAACTGAAGAGAGAAGGATTAAGAGAATATACATATGTAAGATTACTTCAAAGAGTTAAATAAAATGGAGTTAAGAGAAAAATGTAACACCTTATAAACAAATTTTTAAATCATGCTTTTCACACACTAGACATTTCCAAGAACATTCTGGGGGACTCCTTACACACAGGTTATAAAACTTTTTGCACCAAAATATATTGATCATTAATTCTACTCTCCACTTGGTTTCTGAATTGCCTTTCCATTGCCTTTTGTGCCTCTGACAGAATATTCAGCCAAAGATGTTCTTCTCCCATGGCAATTTAAAAACCATGCATCTAAACAGGTCACTTTCAGTTTAAAACTTTAAATTAACACTGTGTGTGTACCCTGGGATGAGATCCAAATGCTTTCATCTGGCCCTCCACATTCTATTCCTGGTCTGATACTCAATATCACTTCTTTCCACCCCTTCTACTCAGTCTAAGTGCATCCCCTCTTCCTCACTACCTAGTACCCCATGAAGTTTCCAGCTTCGTCCTACCATACCCCATAGGTATACACACTTCACTCTTATGGTCCTCTGGGACCTGTAACCCGTGTCACTTCCTGCCTGTGATGTTGGTGAGCCCCTCAGGTAAGTGTAATCTCACCCTCTCTGAACTTCCTTGTCATATTCATGACTCTCTGAAGCATGAAGCATCTGAAATCTTTCTCTTTTTTCATCAGACAAAATGGGAGTTCTTTAGAAGAATTCAATCACTGGCATGTTAATAAACATAGCACCAAACCCAAAGCATTGAAAAGGTAAACAACAATGAAGAGGATTCCAGGTCTAGAGATTCGGTAGTAACACAGTTTAGCTGCAGAGAGCAGATGTCCAAGCTGCAGAGAGCAAATGGATCAGAAACAGAGGATCAGGGTGCTCCAGAATTCGTGCTGAGTACTGTCCCCATTCTCCAGGGTTCCTATCCCTGAATTTAGACGGCTACATTCAATTCTCTGAATCTACAGGCAATCCATTTCCAGAGTCTATCACTACTGTAAAACGGGCCTGATTCTTTTTCCTTTTATGCACCTCCTATAAGGAAGCTCAAACTTCCTTTCTCCCATTAGAGAACCTTTGGGTAGGAATGAGCAGAAAGTAGCTTCTCCCTCTAGCCTCCCCAGAAATCGCCTTGCTCAAAACACTCATATAGTGCTGGGTCACACTGCGCTGGCTAGTCACCTGCTTCCATTACTTGGAAGGGAGCCCCTTAGGGTCCTTTGTGGGCTCTGGGATACTTATTACACCCTTATTGCTCCTTCAGAGTGAAGACCACTGCGCAGGAGACTCAATGAAAATGAATCTCCTAATCATGGCATGAGTGGAAAATCTAAATGAGCTTCCAGATGTAAGAGGAGCATGTGTGTAATCAGATACAGCTAGAATAAGAATCAATTAATCTGAACTACAGCTTTCTCAGTTTGGAAGAACTGAATCAACATCCCAAAGCCCCACTAAGCTGCCCCCACAATGCAGGTGTTTCACGAGCAAGGAAGGCACAAGAGTACTGGGAGTGGTGCTCGGGTACAAAGAGTACATCTACCAGCTCCACAGAGCAGACCAGGCACGCTTCAACTGATCCCAAAGCATTCTCAAGTCCCTCTCGGCAGAAATGGAAACGAATTTCTGTTACCTGCTGAAAAGGGCATGAAGTAATCACTTTTCTTAAAACTTCCACTCTCGTCCAGGAAGTGGCCAGGGTCGAACGCCCGAGGGTTGGAGAACTCTTTGTCATCGTGCAGCACAGAGGTCAGTGAAGTTATCATGGATGTGCCCTGGAGAAAAAATAAGACAAATGAGCTGAATCCTGGGGGAAAAAAAGGAATAGAAATCACCTACTTACTTCAACCTCTTTGGTCAACAAAAACAACATCCATGTATAAAACTGCAATGGACTTTCCACTAAAACAGATCAAGAAATAAACAAAGATGAATTTGAGCCCAGAAGCAGTGGCTTTCCTAAACGCCCTCCAACAGCACTGAAGCTCTGAGCGCTCTAGACTTGGTGCCAAACTGTTTCTCACCACCTGGCACCTCACTTGCTGCTCTGGCTCATCTCCGCAGTTGCCACACACCTCATTTATGGACTACTATCCAAAGGGAATCCTGTGCTGGCTCTTTATCCTAAGGAGTATTTGGAAATTACTAAAAAGGGTTTTTTTTAAGATTTATTTATTTTTATTTGAAAGGCAGATTTACAGAAAAAGAAGGGAAAAGATAAAGAGACAGAAACTTTCTACCCGCTGGTTCACTTCCCAAATGGACACAATGACCAGAGCTGGGCCAGGCCAAAACCAGAAGCCAGAAGCTCCTTCCAGGTCTCCTATTTGAATTATGGTGTCAATTACTCATACCATTTTTTATTACTTTCTCCAGACCCTTTAGCAGAAAGCTCGATCAGAAGTGGAACAGTCAGGACTTGAACAGGCCCCAATATGTACAGCCTGCACTGCAGGCAGGGGTTTAGCATGCTATGCCATGGCACCAATCCCAAAAGGGATTTTTAATCAGATGTCTGGTCTAATTTAAAATTACTTCTGTGATGTTATCTACATATTACTGAGTCCTTACCATTGGAATGTTTCTTTTTCACATAAAATTATATCAGAACTCTTTATTGCAAATGAACCCAAATTTAAAAATGAAAAATATCTATTTCCACTTAAATAAATTCCCATCACTTATGACTTGTCTCTTTTTTTTAACCCCAAAGGACATACATCACTGTATCTTGATTTTTGTATATAATAAACTCATTTCGATACTGTCCCGTATTAACACGTGCACATACCTTAAACAGCTATGCAATCAATACAAATGTGCCATTACAATACAGATGAATACTTACAATGGTTTGAATTTTGCTTTTTTACAGGCAATGAGTAAATAATAAACATGTTGGACATTTTCCCATTTGCACAGTCCCAGTTATATGGTAATATGCAAAGGTTGAATTCTTAAAGGGTAAGATACCTTATAATGGATTAGATAATACAAATTATCCTCCAAAAAGAGGTGCTTATTTGTAATAATTTTAGGACATAAAAACACTCATTTATACTCATTCTCATCAACGAAATGTTTTTTAGCTTTTTACTTCATCTGTCTGATGACTGAAAATTATTTTCTCAGTTTTAACTTTTATTTTGTAGATCTTACCAAATTCACTTCTTGCAACATAAATAATGTAGCGGTATCGAGAGAACCTTGGAGGTCAGCTGAAATCTGCAGCCAATTCCTGAATTTATTCATTCCAAATTTGAAGGAAGACAAATATTAAATCCTTTTTTCTATATTGAGGGCGAAATAAATGCTTTCAGAAAAATGAAACTTCATCTGAGATTCTGTGTGTTCTCATGTGTAATAACTGGCACCAGCCAGCACCAGCCAGCACTTATTCAGCACACCAGAGAGCAAACCAATGGATATAAGAACAGGGAAAAGATGTTCAACCCAAAAGTGAAGACACCTGTGTTCTGGATGGAAGTGCCTGGGTTTACATTCCACTAGCAGCTCCCAACTCTGGCTTGCTACTAGCACATTTCCTGTGAGGCGGCCTCAGTCCCACAAACACTTAAATAGGATTCCTGGGACTCTCCTCAGCCCAGTGCTGACATTCACAGGCATATTAGGGCCTGGCACAGTGGTTCATTTTGCTAATCCTCCCCTTACAAGTTCCAGATTCCTATACAGGTACCGGTTTATGTCCCAGCTGCTCCACTTCCCATTCAGCTCATTGTTTGAGGCCTGGAAGATGGCTTCATGCCTTGGGATCCTGAACCCACGTGATAGACCCAGAAGAAGCTCCAGGCTCCTGGCTTCGGATCGGTTCAGCTCCAGCCATTGCGGCCACTTGGGGAGTGAACCAGTGGGTAGTAGATCTTTCTATTTGTCTCTCCTTCTCTCTGTAAATCTACCTTTCCAATAAAAATAAATAAATCTGAGAGGAGAGAACCAGTGGATGGAATCTATCGGTCTCTCATCCCTCAAATAATTTCTTTTAGAGAATAGTAAAATGCCAAACAATGGTTAAAATAAACTCACAGTTTGGAACATTGCCTAGTTTTTTAGGTAAATTCTACCTTCTTATAAAAATACATAACAAAAATATTTTGTAGAAAAAGTTGAGAATGTCTCTTATAAATATAAACATCCTGATCAAATAAATCAAAGCCAATTGCATATATGTATGTATGAAAGTATGTCTGTTTTCTTGCAGTTATACCTATGAAATACATGAGATCTTTTCTCCTTATATCAATAAAAAATGTTAAAATACATAATTAATGCATATTTAATACAGCCAGTCAAAATTATGAACATATAAAAAAGTAAAGAGAAACCAGTTAATACAAACGTTTATGTATTCATAACCCAAAAATTATGAGAAATGGATGCATATCCTCAATCCAATAAAAAATTATTCTCAAAAATTGTTCTCAAAAACACAAACCTCACTCTCAAAGGTCAGCTGTTAAGCCACCACCTCTACTCAAAAGCCAATTCTACTCAACACCATCCTAGGAACCGTAGCCAGTGGAAGGTGAAATGACAAATTGAAAATAAGAAAAAGCAAATATTAAATCAGGTATCAGAATTCTGCACAAAGAGATCACACTTGAATCTGTAAATTATGAGCAATGATAAATGAATATAGTAAGGTTGCTAGATAGCAAATTATCAAATAATAATGTGAATTATATTCTCAGTACCAAAAAAATTAAAAATGCATTGTGAGCACAAATATTTATAAAAAAAACAGAATCACAAGCCACCAGAATGAAAATTAAAAAACTAAAATGAAACCAAAATAAATTGTGACATACTTACATCCCCAAATATAAAGATTCAACCTGTCAAGATATCAGTTATTGAGGCCAGTATTGTGACACAACAGGTAAACACAACACCTATGACAAGCATTCCATATGAACACCAGTTCAAGTTCCAGTAATGGAAGATGGCCGAGTACTTGGACCCTGCCACTCACATGGGACACCCCAATGGAGTCCCGGGCTCCTGGCTTCAGTCCAGCCCAGCGAAGTCATTGCAGCCATTTTAGAAGTGAACCAGTGGATGGTTTTTTCTTTCTCTATCTTTATCTTTCTATCTGTACTTCTGCCTGTCTCTGTAACTCTGCCTTTCAAATAAGTAAATACATTCTTTTTAATGTCAATTCTTTTCAAATTGATCTATAGCTTCATTTACTGCCACCTTGATAGAAATCCCAAAGGAATGTTGGAAGGTCAACAAATTGATAGATTTAACACTTGTTTGAAAATGTAAGTTTATGCAAGTAGTAAAAACCATTTTTGCATTAAAAAATTTAGGACGTGCCAGCAATCAGGATACATCATGCCACACTTTTTTTTAACATTTATTTATTTTTATTGGAATGATAGATGTACAGAAAAAAGGAGAAGCAGAGAGCAAAGCCAATTCGAAGCCAGGAACCAGGAATTTCCTCCAGGTCTCCCAGGCAGGTACAGGGTCTCAAGGCTCAGGTTAGGGAACACAAGCAGGGAGCTGGATGGGAAGTAGAGCAGCTGGGACATGAACCGGCACCCATATGGGATCCGGGCACAGGCAAGGTAAGGACTTCTGATACTAGGCTATTGCCCCCGGTCATCACACCAGACACTGAAAACAGCCAAGACGCCATCACAACGCAACAGTGAGAGTTTTACACTCGCCCACCTTGTGCAGACAGAGGATCAGAAGCATGTTGACTAGCAAGTTCAAGAATACAGACATGCAGTGTGGGGGAAATAAGGTTACCTTAGGGATGAAGTAGTTTCTGAATTTAATGTTGCAGGTTGCTGCACGGGGCACATTGTTGGGGATGAGGTTCACATATCTCTGGATCTCGTGCATTACAGCGTCCGTGTAGGGCATGCGGCTCCTGTCCTGCATGCTGGGGATCCTGTCTCTGCCTATTACACGCTCAATCTCTTCCTGCATTTTAGCTGGTAAAACACAAGTAAGGAACCTGGGGTTAGGAGAAATACAGCACATTTCTCTTAGCAGGTGAGAACTAAGAGAAGCAAAGTAAAGGAATCCCAAGAGTTGTATAAGGTCACAGTACACCGAGAGTGACAGAATGTCTGTTACACACACAGGTGAGGAACTTCAAAAAATTCATGGACACTTTGTACTATGAAAGCCTACACAGATTTTTAGTTTGGTGTGGATCTGTGGACTGAATGTGTGAGCTTGTCTGCTCATCTTTTAGTATCTTTCTGAACAAGCAAAAGCAGAGGCTAAGCTTTTGCCAACTTCTGGGTCTCAAAACACGAGAATACACACGAGGATAGCTATTTCAGAATGCTAACAGCGCTCTTTAGCTCTTACCTCATCTTACCCTGTGAGAAAGGCTTAATTATTAATCCTTTCATCACAGTGTTCTAAAATCCCACACTGTGCGTCTTGGGGCATCATTTCACTGCTCTCCCTTTACAGCACTTGGCAAGAAATTTCTATCTGCTGGCAATAAATAGAGGTGTGTTATCAGTGCCACTCGTCCTGTACTATTGCTATAGGGCCACTGGATCACGGGAACAAGATGGAAAAGAGACAGAGGACATTCACACTCCGGGGTGCTCTCCTCTGCCCTGCTCAGGCCTGCCCCTCCCTCCTCCCTGTCCCCCTGTCCCTCCCTCCTGCCCCGCGCCCCTCCCTCCTGCCCCCCTGTCCCTCCCTCCTGCCCCCCTGCCTCTCCCTCCTCCCTGTCCCCCCCCTCCCTCCTGCCCCCCTGCCTCTCCCTCCTCCCTGCCCCCTGCCCCTCCCTCCTGCCTCCCTGCCTCTCCCTCCTCCCTGCCCCCTGCCCCTCCCTGCTGCCCTGACAGGTATCCCGGCGTGAACCCTTAGGGCCAGCTTCTCTGGAGAGTGAGCCTTCTGACCCTAAGAGAGAGTAAATAAAGAGGTGGAAGGAAACTGAACACAAAGTCCATGGTTTTATCATTTTGATTCTTCCAAAGAGTGAACTTCCAGACAATTGTAGGGGCACGCGGGACACTTATTCCTATCAGGGCATTTCGAGCACAACATAACTCTACAGAATCGGATTTCACCCCTCTATGTGTTTCAGATGGGTTGACTGCTAGAATTGAGAAATTATCATCTGGGATTCATTTATCTTCTATTCCAGAGTAATCTGAAGCAGAAAAATAATGTGAATGGCTGATCTCGTACACAGACATCAGACCCGCTTAAGGTCAATAATTTAAGATTTTCTTGTTAAGTTTGTTATAGAAAAGAACTATTGAAAACGTGAAAAAAAATCTTATCTTGGAAAACAGTATTTTTCTAGACTCGGATTTCTGTACTAATAAATTCCTAAGGCACATTTTTGCCTTAAATTACATTCAATTTGCTTAAACATTTAACCTTTTAAAATACTTAATGTTGGAAACTGCTCAGTAGCGTATCAGGCTGACCCTCTGCCTATAGCATCAGCATCCTATTTAGGTAACAGTTCAAGTGCTAGTTGTTCCACTTCCAAACCAACTCCATGCTTATGGTCTGAGAAAACAGCAGCGGATGGCCCAGGTCCATGAGCCCCTGCATCCATACTGGAGACCTGAAGATACTGCTGGCTGCTGCCTTTGGATCAGCCCAGATCTGGCCATTGCTGCCATTAGTCAGTGAATCAGCAGTTAGAAAACTTCCTGTCTCGCTCTTTCTTAACTCTGCCTTTCCAATAAGAAGAAACAAAATCTTTTTAAAAATACTTAATGTCGTATTCACTACACGTCAATAAATAAAATACTAGTCTTCTCTAACCCAACATTAGCATTGTCACATGAAAGAAACTCCATGCGAATAGACCTGCCACTCAAAACACTCTGTTCTACAAAACAGTAACTCTAAACTCAAACCAACTCAAAATTCTTTGCCTGCTGCAAACTGCTCCCCATGATTTGTCACCATCCAGAGCTTTATGTCTTTTCCTACTGCTTGTGTTACCTTCACTGTTCTCAGTTCTTCTCTCCTATTGTGCATACTTGCCTCATTTTTATGCCTAAATCTTTATATGATTCCTTCAACAAACTACATCTGGGGCACAGAAATTTCAGTAATGAAACCTGCCGTGCCAACTGATATTGGTTTCAGTCATTCATTGTGGACTTACCTGCCACGCCTGGATTCGTCAGCAGGAGGAGGAGCCCGAATCTCAGAGTGGTGCTCGTTGTCTCAGTCCCAGCCACAAACAGATCAGTTACACAGCCAATCAAGCTTTCAGTAGTAAATTCAGACTGCTCATTGTTCTTTTCCTAACGATTATTAGATTGATTATTTGATAGCTTACCAGAACATTTAGTTACGATCAATTCAAAATAACATTTTTTCCTAATGATAAATAAACTTACAAAATGGAGAGGACAGTCTGAACATTATAATAGCTGCAGATCATGGTAAATAATGTAGATTAGATAGTTCGATCTACAGCTCATTTACCCATCATACCTGCTTGCCTCTAATTTCATATTCGAGGCCTTCTTGCAGTCATGCTGGCCATTCAACATCTCATCAACATTTCTCTTCAGCAGCATAACAAAAGTGACCTGCTGGTGTCAAGGCCCCTTTCCTCCTGACTCAAGGTGCAGCTGTAGGGCCGCGGAGGCAGAACAGAGGTCACTTTGGGAGGTGAGTACTTCTGCATCTCTGAGCAGGCACTCATGGAATATGTCAGCCAGCTGAGCTTAGGAGGCTCCAGGTTCTAGTCCTGAGCTAACCCAATAGAGACCCACTAAGTGTGAGAGAAACGTGCTGCTTTCTTGAAGATATTGCTGAGCTTTACTTATTTGCATCCAGACAAAATCTTAACGCATAGAAATGGGTCAAGTTGAGCCATATCTTAAAAACTGCTATAAGCCAGAATCGAAAGTTTGTAATTCGCAGAGTGCAGCATCAATAACATGAGAGGTTTGTTGCTCTCCCTCCAACCATGAATGTTCTAAATAAACTTCTATTCACAAATCAGTACCCTGTAAGATAAATATATACAGATAGATAGATAGATAGATAGATATGCCAAGACAGTCCTACACATTGCCAGTGAAGAATTTTCCACACCAAATGAGAAAAGCAATGGTAAACTCAGACATGGACATCCATCCTGTACATTGTGCCATGCAATCCAGAATAAATGCCCAAAGACTCATCCTATTCCTAAGGAAAGAAGGATTTAAACTACACACAGAAGGCCATGTACCATAGTTTGACTCTTAATTCACCAACCCTAGGAAACTGGGCATATCCAAGTTTCTACATCACAGAATAAAGTGCCAATTTTAAGAGGCATGCAAACAAATCTAGTGGCTTCATCCCCAAGGATAGAGCAGAGGGAAGATAACCTTCAACAGTCCATATTTCTGCCTAAAAAGACCTTGCTAGCATATTCTACCACTGCTGACAGGTGAGTTTCCAACTAGCCTGAATCAGAACATTCACTGGGTTTATGAACAGCAAACTTCTAGAATCCTAACAGAAACTTCACATGTGCAAGCCTTCTCGTTTGTTCCCTCAATGGTAACTGCAGCTGTACCGATTTATCCCAAAAGGAGCTTAGTCCATGCACTGGTACCCAGTTATGTGCTTCTCACCAAATTTTCAGCCATCTATTTCTACGAATTTACAGAAATTCCCATCCCTGAAACTCTAAAAATCACAGAAAAACAAAGATGTACATGATATGTACCCACAACAAGCACTTATCATCCCCCTGTGGCCAGAGGGAGTAGTCAAAATGCTAGTCCAGGTTTTTGTCATAAATTCTCTCCCTGGCAAAGTGGACAGAAGGTTGAAGACGAAAACACCCATTCTCAGATCCACTGTGAAGACAGAAGGAACTAGAACACATGTCTAACATCACTACATTTTCTGCTACATAGCAGAGCCCACCTGCTATCTTTAATGTCTTGTGGTGCCTACTGAGCATTGGATATCTATATTTTTTAAATAGTATTAACAAATTGGCCACTGATAACCACAACCTTGGAGACCTTAGAGCAATTCTTATCTGACCCCAATAGTCACAGATCATCAATGACCCCACAGCGCAGGCAAACAAATAACATTTTACCTGTTTCATTTTGATAATGAAACAATCAATGAAATCCCGGGGATTATCTGCATCCAGCGTCTGTTGGTGTTCCTTTATTTTCTCCAAAATATAATCTGTTATTTCAGTAAAGTTTTTAATGACTGTATTATGACTTCCTGGGAAATAATCGAAGAGAATAGGGAAAGTATTGCAAATCTTAAAAGAAAAAAAAAACAAATGTGTTGAATTAAAAATATGTATTGAGGACATACACAGAACATAACAACATATGCTTTAAAACTAACAGAAGCACTGGATTGCTCACATAAAGTCATCCTCTACACTGACAGAGATACACGGGAGCAAACACAGACCTCATGATCAAAAATGACAACAATGTCCCCATACATCACTTTTATAGAAGAAAAGCATCTTTACATTGATGCTTTCATCGTATTAACTCATTGCTACAATCCAGAAACACAGAAATGCAGGAATCTCTGTCACAGTCCATGATTATAACAGAAGGTAAGGAGGGTTAGGCAACCTGATAATGCCCACAGAGCCACTCCTATTTCTACCATGAGTCACTCCATGTGATTGGGAGTGGCATAAAGACACCATGAAACCCAGCTTAGCAGCCTGCACACTGATGAGAGTGGGCTGGAAAATGGAGTGTGTTGGAATGAGCTAAGCTTCAATGCCCACTGACATATACAAGAACTGAATGGGACACAGGAGCAGACTGTACCAATCTGTTGCACATACCAGCAAGCACAGGAACCAGAGCTGGGTGTGGGCATATTTGCGATTATCAGGGGTTGTTCTGACTAGGCTGCAGTTCCTGCTGGTGCACATGAGAGTGAAGTGTATAGAAGATGGCAGAAAGTCCAACATCCTACAGTACTGCGTTGTGTCTTCTCACCTCGATATGATAATCTCTATTACACAGTTCCTCTAGATGACTATTTGTACATGAATGTTTACCTACATATCTATTGATCTTGTATTTTGCATGAAGGTTGTCTTAAATCAGAGAGAATGTATGAAATTTGTCCTTTACTTCTTAGGCAGAGTGCAGAACATGTCAGTGCAACAGAAGTTGAAGTTGGGATATTTACTGACAATTAACATAGTTCAGGTCAAATAGTTTTGTCAGCTAATCGTGGTTACCTCGTCAGCCTCCGTTTGCAATGATTCATCAAACATGCTCTTTTCAGAACTTCCTGGACGTGTGTGTGCAAACAGCTCCCTCTTTGGCATCCCAACTCAGGATATTTATGCCAAGCAACATGATGAAAAGTTCCCCAAGTTCTAATTGGTGAACAAGCATGAGGATAACAGCAGCTTTTCAGTAAGGACCTGAAGGATCTCAGACATGCTTTTTGGCAATAACCAAGAACTGTCTGGAAGCTGGGTTTTCAGAATTGGTAAGAAAACGACCGCTCCATCTCAGCTCAAATATCTTGTCTTTCCACAAAAATGTTGAAAATCCAAAAGCAAATCCTGCCAGAATCAACTTGATCCTAATTCTAAACTACAGTCAAAGGTCAACAGCAATAAAAGAAGAAACCTAAATGAAAGAAAAGGCAACTTGAACCTGATAGAAAAGCTGTGTAACATTTTACTTGCCCTTGTCCCACCTTGGCAGTGGTTTTGGCAAGGACAGCCCTGTGCCTAGTACAGGACCTTGATTTCAGAGCAAGAGGTGTTTTTCTGTGTTTGTCTGAAGACTACCAGAAGGGGTGATGTAAAGCAGTTGTCTTTGTTTCATTTAATCCAGAACACTCAGGATAGAAAAAAGCAGGTATTTCTCCAAAATGTTGCAACGCACATGAACAACCAGCAGCCAACCTTAGGCAAATGATAGCAACTGAGGTAAACAATAGAGCAGTAAGACTCAGAGGGAAAAGGGAGAAAGTACCTCAGAAACTAGGGCATTCAGAAGTGTCCATGTATACTGAGGTAGTTACAAAACCATGAATATCCCACGAGCAGGCCACTAGCTAAAAAAGGACCTGAGAAGACAATAAGCTTTCACCCCCAGCTGTCATCTAGATTCAACACAAGCAATAAGGGAACATTGGTATGAGGAGTGCTCAGGCCTGAGGCTCTAGGGAAAATCTCTTTCTCTCTCTCTCTCTCTTTCTTGGTCTTCACCTTCAAGGTAATCTCTGTCAAATTAACTGAACAGAAGCAAATTGAGGGCAGAATTCAGAGACAAAACAAAAATATGCCTATCACTTAGTAAATAAATACATAAATGTGAGAGCGAAATGAACTGAAAAACTGGGGGTGGGGCAGAGCCTGGAAAGGAAAGGAAAGGAAAGAAAAGGAAAGGAAAGGAAAGGAAAGGAAAGGAAAGGAAAGGAAAGGAAAGGAAAGGAAAGGAAAGGAAAGGAAAGGAAAGGAAAGGAAAGGAAAGGGAAGGAAAGGAAAGGGAAGGAAAAAGGAAGGAAGGAAAAAGAAAGGATGGAAAAAGGAAGGATGGAAAAAGGAAGGATGGAAGAGAGAGACAGAGAAAGAAAGAAAGAAAGAAAGAAAGAAAGAAAGAAAGAAAGAAAGAAAGAAAGAAAAGAGCGAAGGAGGGAGAAAATAGAAATAAGGAAAGAGAAAAAATTTAAGTGAAGAGAATATGTGAAAAGTAGAGAGATTGGAAACCAATGTACAGTTGTGCGCTCATTGATGCGAAGAGAAATTATGTGTCAGAGAGGAGCTGATCTCACCTGCAACCAGGGGGAGTTCAGAATTTTGAAGTTTTCATTGAATTTTCCCATCAAGTTAAGAAAATCTGCATCTTTGTAATCAAAACGGTTCTGGAAAATCACGGAGCAGATCACATTGCAGGGAGCAGCACCCAGGATAAAGGTGGGGTCACACGGTGAGGCTGAAGGGAAAACATTTCAAATACTATTAAAATACACATACACACATTTGGGCTTTTGAACTAACAAATACAGGTAATTTTAGGATGATCTAAAACAATACCTACAGACATTACCTTATCAACATCTTAAATCTGTGTTTTTATAAGTTATAGATATAACTCCAGTCAGCCATCAACAAAACCCGCACTATTATGAATTTCTTAATTTGATCATCATTTAATCTAACTCCATAATTTTGTCCAAAAAGAAATAAAAGCAAAGTAAGTACTGCTTTTCATTTTTCTGTTTTGACTCGCTCAGTGGTAGGCAACACGTAAGTCAAATTGCAATCACATGATCAATGTGTTTTATTTTAAAAGGAACACCAAATTCCACCACAGATCTGATTAAAGACAACGAATCAAAAGTATTACAAAACACTGATAAGTAATTCAAAAATAGGCATCCTGTCTAGTTAATTGCTCTCGAAAGGTCCCTTTTCAATTAAAACAGATCATGGCATTAAGCCTTAAAAAAAACTTTTACTTTACCTAGAAGGTAAGGAACAATTTGGATATAGTAATGTAAGATGCATGTGTGTGTATTTGTGTGTGTGTGTGCTTATTGTGGAAACCTCATTTCAATCCTTCCTGTTACTTAATTTAGAAGATATTATTAAAAATCAGGGCACTCCAGCATGAGAGTCTAGCAGCTGAAGTCCTTGCCTTGCATACACTAGGATACCATATGGGCGCTGGTTCTAGTCCTGGTGGCCCCACTTCCCATCCAGCTCCCTGTTTGTGGCCTGGGAAAGCAGTCGAGGATGAGTCAAAGCCTCGGGACCCTGCACCTTCACGCAGGAAGAAGCTTCGGGCTCCTGGCTTTGGTTCGGCGCAGCTCCAGCCATTGTGCTCACATGGGGAGTGAATCAAGGGATGGAAGATCTTTCTCTCTTTCTATCCTCCTCTCTGTATATCTGACTTAATAAAATAAATAAATCTTTAAACAAAAATCAGGGCACTCTGGAATTCAAACTGAAAATCACAAACTCATATGACATATACTTTAGAGCTTACAGAAAGAGGAGTAAATATAAAAGGCCTAACCCCAAACCAATTGCTTTTAAGTGCACCTGAGATTTTGCTTTTATCACATATGGTTAGCCATCAGGACGTCAGATGATGGCAGTTAGGGCTGGCATTGGAGTGCAGTGGGTGAAGCCATCGTCTATAGCTCCAGCATCTCATGTGAGTACTGGTTTGACTCCTAGATGCTCCACTTCCAATCCAGTTCCATGCTAACACATCTGGGAAAGCAGCAGAGAATTACCCAGGTCCTTGGGCCCCTCCACCAACACAGGAAACCCAGATGGCATCCTAAACTCTGTGCTTCAGCTGACCTAGCTAGTCATGGCTGCCATTTGGGGAGTGACTGAGTGGCAAGTTGAGTAATTATAGGACTGAATAATTGAGCTCTTGCTGTAGGTGGGCAGCCAAGCAGTTCTCTGCTTCAGAATGTCCCTGCTCCTCTAGGGAGCTGACAACCAGGGCCCAGAATGGAATGTCTTGCTATTTTTATAATGTGTCCAGGGCCACCACTTGAAATGAGAGAAGTCTCCTGAGAATGTACATCACCCACCGTTGGTTTTCCTCAGCTCCTCCACAAGGCAGCGGGCCTCCTCCTGAACTCGCTCCTCTATGCTCCTCTTCCCCATCCCGAAATTGCGCAAGGTCATGAGCGAGAAGCGCCGCATCTCCTTCCATCTCCTTCCATTGCTGAAAATGACTCCTGATATAGAGAAAAGTGGGAACTAAGAAGAGTACCCTAAGCAAGAAAGAATAAGCTAGCAACAGAAGCCTTGTGAATTGTCCCAGTTTTGCAGGGAGAACTATTCCTGGTGTTTGGTCTTCATATCACCAAACCCATTATCACACGTATTGACACACGCACGTACACACATACACATATGAATATACACATACACACTGACCAGATGCTTGATTAAGTCTTGTAGTCAGTGGGAAATTTGTTCTTCCAGAAAACTCATCTCCAAACTCAACCAGTGCTTCCTTCACTGCTTCATAACCGTGCATCACCACAGTGGGCTTCCTGCCCAAATATACGGTGAACACAGGGCCATAGACTTCTGAAAGCTTGAAACAGAAAAGACAAATCAAATGTTAGTAAAAGAAATTTCTCTTTGGTCTATATATGTTTGGATGATTTAGAATGACGTTACCATCATATTATTGATTTGCTATCCTCTCAAAGACAAATGTTTCTCTGTTACATCTAACATAATGATGTTTGCTAAGACTCGCATAAACAGAGTGAGTACCCAGAAATGATAGGGGAAATTAGTATATAGATCATTACAAGTAATTAACACACTGAGTGAGCCTTATTGCTGTTTCATAGACACAGAAACTGAATTATAAACATTTCAAAATCCTTCACCCAAAAAAATACAGACCCAAAATTAAACCCTGTATTGTTAACCTGCGATGCCTGAAGAATTTATTATTCTTTAATGCTCAGGTTTCTACCTACCTCTATCTACTCTAGGACAGTGCTTCAGAACAAATTCCCATTGGTGATCACACCCAGTAGTTGCAGATTAATACTAGAAATCTATGTATTTAAAAGCCCAGAAGCCCAGCCCAATTTAAAAACAGCTGGTATTGTCAGCGCAGAATGGCACCATGAGAAAGGCATGGAGTCAGACAAAGGGCAGACTCAGCCACGCTGTGCGTTCACAGGCAATGAACAGCAACATTTTGCAGGCCCCAAAGTACACACCAGCACCACCCAGCAGACCTGCAGCCACTCTTGGTTTCATTCACTTGTTTTTATCAGAGAATCATATTTCCTTGACTTCATCCCAAATTTGCCTCCTGAGAGTTTGATTCTCTTACTAATCTGAACAAACCATACTGCTGTACGCATTAGTAGATGACTTTCTAACTAAAGCCTAATCCCAAGCCGCTCCATTAACACCGATTTTCAGGCTTTTTTTTTTTTTAAGAAACAACCGTGAAACAAAGAAAAGCAGTAACATTTTTTTGACTCTACCTTACAACTTAAATTATTTCTCTACTGGCAAAATGCATTGATTTTTAGGTTTTATTTATTTATTTGAAAAGCAGAGTAACAGACAGAGAAAAACATTCTAATTGAAAATAGCAGGGACTTGAAGAGGCAGCCTGATGTGAAATACCACCATCACGAACAACAGTTTCGCACACTGCACCACCACACTGCCCCCTCTCAAATGTTTCAGTGTATCCCACTGTTTCTGATAGTGACCCATCAAAAATATTAATCCCCAGGGAGTATCTTTCTAAGTAAATATTTTTAAATTATTCACCCATAGCAATATATCTTATTATAAAATAGAAGTTAATAACATACCTTTTGCAACCAATAGGAAGAATATAATGCATACTTACATGGGTTAATGATTTGCTGATGTCCTTAATATCTAACTGCAGGATATTTCCAATGATTGGGAAAGGAGTGGGGCCGGGAGGCAGCTTCCCTCCCCCATGGTTCTGCTTCCAGAGTGAAAAGAGAAGCAAGAGGGAGAGACAGAGCACCAGTACCACAACTAGATCCATGGAAGCCTCCTCTCACCAGGCTTGCAAGCCCAGACTTTTATAATACTCCCTGCTACTTCTGTGTCCTTTTGGCCAATAAGCTAAGCAATAAGCTGTATTCACTGTAAAGTCCGTCACAGTGGACTTTGGTCCGCTGAAAAGATTGAAATAGCATGTTCCTTACTGTGGCTCTGCCCATTGCCACACCCTAGAAACTCTAGCTTACCTAGCATAGGGTGGGTCCAGGAACTCTTCAACTGTTTTCCCACTTACAGCTAAAAGTGAAAACCAATGAAGTAAACCATTCCATCAAAAAATTGTTCAACATTCTGATTTCTTAGATTGATAACCAGTTGGGAATCTATGACTTGAAGAGCAATGTGAGGTTTTTTTTTTTTTTCAATCCCTTGTACATAAGATAATATTTATCCTATAATGCTTTCTGAAACACTAGGAACAGTCCTTCAAAATCAAAGCCTTGAAAACATTTTGGCATACCATTTTTAAAATTAAGACAGCTTTTTTTACATGGAATAATTCCAATCTTTTTGCTGGAATAAGAGTTGTTTGCAACCTGAATGGTCAAGCAACATCTCCTCCACATGTAAGTTCCTCCTGAAATGTTCATACATGACACTTTAAACTTTGCAAGATTTTTACTAAAACTTAGAGTTGCCAAGAGCAATACATCAAATTGTAAAAGTGATTCAAAAAGAAAAGGGGAAGAACAATTCCGTGAATAGGCAAGATATACTGCTACCATGTAAACTTATGGGGCTTTAGAGGAATTTTTAGTTAAAAACAAAGGTAAAAAAATTAAAGCCAAATTGTACAAGAAATACATAATTTTTCTATCTCATGATATTTGTTTCATGTATGTATGTCTTAAATGTTGTGTTTACATTGTAAAACTTACTTAAGGTGTTGTTTTGTTGAACTAAAGATCATGAATGACACATAAGTTAAAACAATTCAACAACATAAATATCTTAATGTTCACATGACTCATCAAAAATTAGATTTTGGGGGCCAAATAAAAGCACAGATATCTTCAGAATTGTTAGCATACTTTTGTTCCTGATTTGGCTGGTCAATCAAGATTGTATTTAGGGCCTAGCCTGGTAGCCTAGTGACTAAAGTCCTCACCTTGCATGAGCAGGGATCCCATAGGGGCACTGGTTCATGTCCAGTGCTTCCCATCCTGCTTGTAGCCTTGGGAAGCAGTAGAAGATGGCCCAAAGCTTTAATACCCTGAGCCCATGTGGGAGATCCAGAGGAAGCTCTTGACTTCAGATTGGCTTGGCTCCAGTTGTTGCAGCCACTTGGGGAGTGAATCAGCAGATGGAAGATCTTCCTCTCTGTCTTTCCTCCTCTCTATATATCAGACTTCCCAGTACAAAAAGATAAATAAGTGAGTCTTTAAAAAATAGATATTTAACTCTGCTATCCATCCAAGATCATAAAAATATAAACTTAGCCTACACACAGGTAAAGCACAATACCTTTTTCCACATACCAAGCATAACAAGATAGCCTTAAAAACAATGACTATGCTTGCCTATTATTTTTATAGGCATATGCTGTGGCCTAGCCCTGTCCATCCCAAATCCCATCTGGCTCTCATGAACACCCATGGGTACTGCAACTTAGCACAGCCCAACTCACCCCCAGACCCAGCCTGTACACAAGCTGATGGCTGCCTTGACCAGCCTGGCCCACCCCCAGCCATGGTTCTCATAATCACCATCGGGAGCTGTAGCCCAGCAGAGGAGTGCCCACAGTTCCTCTACCAGGCCTGCTCCCACCTCCAGATCTTGCATGTGCCTGAGGGTACTGCCGTCCATTCTGACATGACTCAGACCCAGTCCTGGCACGTACCAGGGGTATTGTGGCCTAGCCCAACGGGCCCATTCTAGCTTCCTGTGCATCAGCAGCTATGGCAGTCTAGCACAGCCTGGCCTACGCCAGTCTCAGCTCTCACACTCACCAGTGGAAACAGCAGCCCAGTGAGGTAGTCCTCACAGTTCCCCCATCAGGTCCACTCCCAGATCCAGATCTTGTATGTGCCAGTGAATGCAACTGCCCAGTCTGAGATGGCCCACCCCTAGTCTTGACATCCACCAGCAAGTACTACAGCCTGGCTCAGACCAGCTCACCCTCAGTCCAGCTCTCACTGACAGGTACAGCAACCTGGCCCACATCCAGCCCTCTTATGAACTGGCAGGTGTGGTGGTCCAACCTGGCCTGTCCTGCACTTCATGCTGACTCTTGCTTATGCCAGTGTGTGCTGTGCACTGGTTCAGCTCAGCCTGCCATCAGACCTGGCTCACACATATGCAAACAGGTGCTGCAGCCCAGCCTGGTTTGGCCTGCTCCAAACCCCACATTTCACATGTGGCAGCAATTACTGCTGGCCAGTCTAAGAGACCTGGCCCAAGACCTGAAACTTACTGATTGGCACTGCAGCCTAGTCCAACTGGCTCTCACACCTATTTTGGCTCCTGCTAGTCGATGCTACAGCCTGTCTCGTGTGAACCATCATGTGCCATGACCTATTCCAGCCTGTCCCATATCCATTCTGGCTCTTGTGAGTTTCAGTGGGTACTGGGGCCTAGGCCAGTCTGGCTTGTCCCCAACCCCAGCCCATATACATGCCGATGGATGCTGCAGCCTTGTCCAGCCCAGTCTGCCTACAGCCCCGGCTCTTGTATCCAACAGTGGAAGCTACAGCCTAGCAGGAGAGTTCCCAGAGTTCACCTAACAGGTCCATTCCCAACCCCAGATCTTGTACGTGCTCCTGGGTACTTTGACTCAGCCTGACATGGCTCACACACAGTCTCAGCTCTTGCTGGTGCGTGTTGCAGTCTGGCCCAGCCAGGTGCAGACTATACCCTGTTCTGATCCTTGTGTATGCCAGTGGGTACTGTGACCTCTCCCAGCCCAGTCAGCCCAGCCTACCCCCAGCCCTCACCCACAAAAATGCTAACAAGTGCTGCAGCTTTGCCTGGTCTGACCTCCTCCCAGCCCCAACTCTATGCTCCCCTACTAGTTTTGCTCCCAGTCCCAGATCTCACATATGCTGGCAGGTGTTACAGCCCTGCTTGGCATGATCTGTCCTCAGTCCTGCCCTTTGCATGTGCTAGCAAGTGCTACAGGCTGGCCCTACAAGCCCCAGCTCCTGCAAGTGTCAGGTGAGTGCCACAGTCTGGTCTGTCTTAGCCTGTCATCACCCCCAGGTCTGCAAATAAACCTGCAAGTGCTGCAGTTCCCCCAGAGTCAAACCCACAAGTCTTCTACAGAATCTGCATCCAGGGTCCAGCCTAGTAGCCTAGTGGCTAAAGTCTTCACCTTCAACATACCGGGATTCCATATGGATGCCGGTTCTAATCTCAGCAGCCCCACTTCCCATCCAACTCCCTGCTTGTAGCCTGGGAAAGCAGTCAAAGTTAGCCCAAAGCCTTGGGTCCTGCTCCTGCATGGGAGACCCAGAAGAAGCTCTGGGATCCTGGCTTCAGATCAGCGCAGCTCCAGTCGTTGCAGTCACTTGGGGAGTGAATCAACGGATGGGAAAGCTTCCTCTCTTTCTCTCTTCCTCTCTGTGTATCTGACTTTCCAATAAAATAAATCTTAAAAGCCCCCAGATCCAATTCTTTTGCATTCTGGTGGGTGCTGCAGCCCAGCCTGATGTGGTCTAGCCCTTCCTTGCTCTACCACTCACAGGCAGGTAGTGTGGCCTGGCCAAGTCAAGCATGCCCCTCAGTCCCAGCTTTTGCATGTGCCACTGATCAGCAGACAATGCCCTTTAGTGTGGCACAGATCGCCAACATGGGTGTACTGCCTGATCAAGACATACCCTCCAGTTTCCCCTCTCTGTCTCAGCTGCCTCACCCTACATGTGAGTGCAGAGACCTGCTCCATGCAGGACCCCAAAAGTCATTCCTCCCCAGTCAAACATGCCCTCAGCTACTCCCAATCAAATAACATCTCCAAACTCCTCTCCCTGGGCAGCTCTGCCTCACCAGCTAGGATTCAGGGTGCCATCTCCCAGCCTGTCAAGTCCTGCCTTCACCGTATATCTTTTTTATTTTTAAGATTTTGTTTCATTTGAAAGGCAGATTTGCAGAGAAAAGGATACAAAGAGAAAAATCTGAGATCTGCTGATTCACTCCCCAAGATCAACCAGAGCTGAGCTGATCTGAACTCAGGAGCCAGGAGCTTCTTTTGGATCTCCCACAAGGGTTCAGGGTACTAAGGTTTTAGGCCATTCTCTACTGCCTTCGCAGGCCACAGACAGGGAGTTGGATGGGAAACGGGGCCACCAGGACACAAACTGGTACCCATATGGGATCCTGACACAAGCAAGCCAAGGATCCAGCCACTGAGCCATCACACCAGGTCCATCCCTACCTATCTTAAAGGAAAAAAAAAAACCCAGAATAGTCACCTATGCTGGCACAGTGGTAGAATTAACACAAATTTGGCATCAACCAGGCCCAGAGTTCCCACTAGCTACTAGTTGCTTTTCTCCCAGCAGTGTAACACTTGTCTAGGTACAAGGCAGCCTAGGTAGTTGCTGACAGCTAAGGTGTTCTTTCATTAAAGAAGAAAAAGGTATAGTTTCCATGTAACTGGTCTCTTCCTCAACTTTTACCTAGCTTCAGTAAGCTCCTTTCTATCCAGCTCTGCTTGAGTTATTCTCGACAATAAAAGTGCACCCTTAAATGCCTAGATTAGAAGATAGGTTGATTCTTTGCTCATGGGTTTTTTTGGTGTATTCAGTGTCTTCTGTGTAACCAGATAATGCAATGTACTTTGACATTCAAGAGATTGTATTCCTTCTACTCAAGTTTTTCCTGTTTATGACATGACACTAAAAGTGTTTATAACAGGATCATTTGATTCTTCACTCATGACTTCCCCTTTTGGCAACTATCCCAGGAAAGAAAAAATAGTTATTTTTAGGATATTTTACAGATGGGGGTTGGTGCTATTTTTAAGCTTTGTGAGTAACCACTTTACAG